CTTGTGTTTCTCAAAGAGAAGTTAGACTTAGACTTTACGTTAAAGTTAAAGAGTATACTTAAAATTAAAAGAAGTAATAATCTCCAAACCCCAAGTGACTAAAATTGATATGTTATTAAAATAAGCTAAAATATTTCAACCCATTAAAAGTGTCTGATAAATTACCTCGCATTAGGTAATAGGCATAATTAACAAAAGTGTTAATTTGCGTATTTGTATTGACATCAGTGACATCACATTTCAGAGACCACATATTTTGCCGTTAAAAATTATCTTATTCTTACCCCCCCCCCACTCCTACTAGGTCTGTGCATCACATATGGTCGGCACTTCGTGCAAACGTATTTAAAGCATGAGCTTCTTGTTGGGAATCTATAATGATATCTATCGAAAGTGTGTTGCTTTGATCTATTAACGCATGAACTAACTTGTTTCTCTCACTCCCGGTAGACTGGATCTGTCACACTGCCTCTTCCTCCTCCATATTATTGCTGAGCTCTGTATCGTCATCCTTATGCTAGTCTCGGCTTGTGTGATCTCAGCTGGATTCAAGCACCTTTGTGATTCGCTATTAACTGGACTGAAAAGGTAGGCCTACCAGTGCGTCTGCCTTTAACTTGATAAAGGAAATGATGGATAATTGAACAAGACCTCGTTTGATGTCTTATTTGAGCAAAGCCATCGCATGGGCCCTGTAATCCCTGTAGTGGGCCCTGAAACCCCTGCAGTAGACCGGCAGCCCCTGCAGTGGGCCATGCAACCCCTTCAGTGGGCCATGCAACCCCTTCAGTGGGCCATGCAACATCTGCTGTGGGCCCTGAAACCCCCCTACATTGGCCCGTGCAACCCCTTCAGTTGACCCTGCAAGTGGGCCCTACAACCCCTGCAGCGGAGAAGGAGCCAAAGTAAAATCCTCAACCTAGTATGCAGGAAAAACAAACCCGAAAAGTGGCAGGATGCCTCCAAAAGTCAGGCCATGGCTCCGAGTCTGAGTTTGAAAAGGTTTAAATCTAACAGCCTGTTATACGTTTGACCAAGGGTCTTTGGTGGAAGTAAAAACATTTGGTTAGTGAAGCCTGAAATGACAACAGAGCCTCCTCGTAAACATTGCTGATCTGTCAAATCAAGGAATGAAGATGTTTTTGTTATATTATGTTGGTTTAGTGTCTTGATAAATCCTTGATTTGGTCATGGGTAGCATGTCAGTGGTCTAATGTTCGTCTACTTTGCTTTCTTTTTAAAATGTGTGATTGTGACTTGTGTGACACTGATCTGTTGTTGGGTTAATTGATGTTTGGTTTTGCATGATTGTGGCCTGGTGTTTGATTAATGTGACATTTTGTTCTCTTACTTTGCTATCAAAAATTTTAACTTCTCTTTCCCTTTCAGTAATTTAATTTATTTATTTTAGCTTTTTTTTTTTTTTTTTTTTTTTGTGGGTTTTTTTTTTTTTTTTTTTTTTTTTTTAAATTTTTTTTTTTTTTTTTCTTTTTTGTATTTTTATTTTTTTTTTTTTGTTTTTTTTTTTTTTTTTTATATTGCGGGTTTTTTGTTTTTTTAAGCTGCTTGTAAAGAACACCATAAATTATAACACTAAGCATGATATAATGCCTTGTCGTGTGACTATTGTCAAGAGAGGCAACCCTTGAAATAGTTTTACAATAATATAAGAACATGCAGTTATCTCCCCTTAAGCGTTGAAACGCCAAAGTGCGCTCATTTTGAGAATTTGCAACTGCTGTTCTTTTAAAATTTTTTTTTTTTAAATTTTTAAATTTTGTAGAGATTTGTGAATTTTAATTAGGTTAAATATAAATTAATAATTTTATGTAAACAGACTTCATTTTATAGCAGTTCCCTTTATATGTTTGTCAGAAATGTAGCACATTTAAAGCACGTATCTGTGTGTAGAGAAATAATTCGTGTTAATTTTATTTAAATCCATTTTACCATTTACTGCCAATTATTCTGATGTACATTATTGTTTTAAATTGATTCCCGCCCCACTTCCAAATCATTTTGGTTGGTAACTGCTTGTTTTATCGTAAATATATTTAATCTTCAAATGTACACCCAACTTTAAAACATCATCCACATTTAACCTCTTTCCAGCTGTATAGCGGCTCAGGACTTTTCAGATTGGCGAGGCTATGATGGCAGCAATTTCTATGTCAGTTTATCTGTGGCAACAGTAAGTCTGACATCTTTCTTTGGTGACATTTTGCTTGACAGAAATAGACTTATTTTAAAAATGATGTCTTAAATCTTGGGTTTAAAAAAAAAAGTGGGGGGGGGGGGGGGGGGGGTTGGACATTGGAATATCAATCTATATCAGAGGCATGAAAAAAAAAATGTGCAGTGGTGTCAATGGGGTGGGTAGCACTAAGTGGATAAAGTGTGTTGCTTGATTTCATGTTTTGTCAAGTAATGTTAGGAGATGGGATGTTAACTCATTGCAGCTGCAATATTTAACAGCTATAACTTAATTAAGTTTAAAAAATGCAGGCTATATATAGAGAGTGCCACTGTTTTGAAATTATCTAAGTGCCTGCACTTTGAAAAATGATAACTTAAAGAAAAGACTGTATATTAAAAAAATGTTTCATACTAATTTAATACCTACTCCAGAATTCTCACCCCCCCCCCACCCCACCCCGGAATAGTGACCCAATTTAAACATCTGATAAGAATGCATCTGCCCAAAAAGTAAATGGGTTGTAATTAAAATTAAATTGTGGGCTGGACTGCATGCCACCTAGGTGGATAAGAGCATCTTTAAATTTATCATGTTTAAAAACTGACATTCCAAGAGATTTCATGTCATTTAAATAATGGGTTGACTACATACCAACTAAGTGGATAATAATAGCAGAATTTTTAAAGCAACTGAATTTCCATAGTGACACAGTATTTAATTTACGAGTATTTACAAGACTAATAAAGACGTGACCTTCTAAGTGTACTGAAAAATCAATAATTTAGACTTAAGACCTTGATGAAACATGCTGAACATTAATTTGCTGAGTAAATATCTTCATTGCAGGCTGGCAGCTGGCTCCTCTTTGTCTCATGGTTATTGCAAGGGCTTCTGGGATTGTGGAAGTTATGGCGCCTTAACATGCTTCCTGTATTGCCATGCTGTGGCCATTCTGAATAAGGAATTCCTAAGAAATCGAAATTTCATAAAACCAATATTTATGTTTAAAAATGTATCCTTTCCCAGAGTCTGAAATCGGGTTGAAAGAAGATTGATTACCCTGTAATACTAATTTCTCAAGGGCACAGACCAAGGAAATGGTAAAATATTAATGAAAAGAGGAATATTATTTATTCATATAATATTCAAGAATTCTGCAACATTTGCAATGTTTGTGAACTCTTTGAGATTTGTTACAAAAAAAATGTATTGTTGTTAACGGTTCAATTTTGTTTAGTCATAACTTAATTAGTTACACTGTTAATTTATTTGATATTTTATTGTAGATGCTTGCATCTTCATTGTGCATTAAGTTGTTGGTTGATATCTCTATCAATAACTCTGCTCATTGCTCTCCAGAACATGCTGGTCAAAAACTAAATTGTTAGGTCCACCCCTTATATCAGAATACATAATGCGATACCAAATCAATGGTGGATTCATGAGTGAGGGCATATGACTTCCCCCTAGCTCTCCCCTTCTCTCCCCATTATGATTTTGGAATGACATGGGATTCAAATTCAAGCATTCATAACAAAAGATACATTCAAAAAAGGAGCTCAACAATGCTCAAATTGTGGATTTAAAATAAGTTTGAGAAATGTTTTACACCAGCTGTTTACTCCGATGTTTACGTATTGTTCCCTCTAAATCTAAAGAAAAAGCAAAGGAATAACTTAATCAACATTCCCATTAATGTGAAATAAATAATTTGTACATTTAGAATTAACTGCTACTACAATTTGTTATTGCTAAGGCCTCAATAATTGTGTATTCCATTTAAAAATAGAATTTTGTATGAAGCCATCAAGATTTTAAGTAATTTTTAAAATTTAATATACTATACAACTCTCATACTTGAATCGCTACTGGACTACTTATAAAAATCAAGCTATGCATGAAATTATCATTTAAACACCCCCCTCCCCCTGCCTTTTGATTATTTGGCTACAAGATCTTGTGCACCAGCAGAACCATGTTAAAACACTTCATAATCAAGCAGTTTTAAAGCTTTCGAAATCTTACAATTATTTCCTCAATAATTGAATAACCACCTTTTCTCACTATTGTATTAGCATTTAAATTTTTTTTAAAATACTTTTGATATTTGAAACCCTGTATTTTCAAAGGCCTTTTTTTCATCTATTTTACAAGGCTTTGCTTGTTTTAGAAAAAAACAAAGTGCATTAGATGAAACTGAGGTTGCTTGTTTTTTTTTTATATTTTTTTTTTTATTATTTTAGGTGGCAACTTAAAAATGACATCTAATATTTTTTATATGTATAATATTATATTTTTCACTGTTTGTTGCACATCTGAATATCTGTTCATTAAAATACATCTTTCATGAGAAATGTTTATACATTTAGTTTAAAATGTCAAAGTCAAATTTTATATATAAATATCATTCAAGAGCAATGTTGTTTTTTTAAATATAGCTTTTTACCACGTTTTCTTACTTCTGGTGGATGCAATGTCAGAAAATGTATTCATACAAGTGAAACATATTTTGAAAATATGATTCCTTGGAACATTTTAATTAATTTATATTTATAGTGAAAATAGAGACCTCATTTAAAGCTTGTATAGTAATAATAGTATGGTATATAATTTCTTTTATTTATATCTAAACTTTTAAATCCTTATCTTATCGGTATCATTGGAGGACAAAAAGAAAACTTCAGCAGCTGCCTTCTTTTCAATTTACCGGTATTTTATAATTTCATAGCCTTGTAAGATGGAAAAACATGCATGGAAATATTTAAACCAGGTCTCTCGAGTGGAATTTTTGAAATAAAAAAAACATTGAATTAAGTAATTTAAACATAAGATTCAGACTTAAATGTTTACTATCTTTGTGGCCCTGATAGTTTGGAAGATACAAGAGACTCACTGGCAACAAGACAACTCACTGGCAAACTAATGAGGTTACAGTGCTTTTCAAATTAATTTTTTGTGTGCTTTTTAATCGTTTAAGAGTGAATAAAACCATCCACAAACTACATCATGGATTCACCAAGAGCTTTTATTAAAGCTAACATAAAAAGGTATTTCAGTTATAACTTTTGAAATATCGAAAATTTTGAAGTATACACTTAGTTATCTAGGCTTACTATTAAAATGAAACTTCCACTTCTAAATGAATATGTGATTGAGCCTCAAAATTACAAAATAAAGTAACAGAAACCAGATTTTGCATTCAAATATCATTTATTCCTGATTAGTAAACATTGAATAATCAGATAGAGAAAAAGCATAGTAATTTAACCATACAATAATATTGTCAACCACCCTACTTGCCAGTGTCTCAACCTGAATACCCAATGCCACCGAACATTCCATCATATAAACAAACATGGTTGTGAAAAAAGGGTATGACATTTTATAATTTGAAATGATGAGCACTAAGGCATGGGAAAAAGTAAATCATGAACTTCATAGTTATGTTAAATCATGGGAAATCCTCGAGTTCATTCAGTTGCATTTGATCATGATGCAGATAGTGTAATAACTGAAAAATTGTTTGCTTAACTTTAAAGACTGTAAATGTTAAATATTTATGCAGTGTCTCATTCTGAAAGTGAAAAGGAATGAAATAACTCATCTATCATTAGATCACATATCAATCTTATGGTTGTTATTTTTAAATGTACAATAAGGTGTTTTATTTTTTAAATACATCAAAGGAGAAATAACCATTCACAACACAATGGCTGGTCTTAAGGTTAATTAATGACATTTCAATTAACTATTATAACAATACATAGTAATATGATGGTTGATTTTTTTGTTTTTTATTTGTTGTAGCATGGAGGTATCAGTTGTTTGTTAACTTCGTTATATTCTGTGTGGCTTTATAAATTTGTAAACCTTAAAATATGTTACTCCAAACAATAGTTACGAATTCCATAAGTTTATGTATTTTACTGATATGCCCGGGTTTAAGTGGATAATCCAATAAACAAACTGACTTTCATTACAGGCAGTATCTGGATAACATGGAGTGCCATCAAATAGTTCAAAGAATCCCTTAAACTTGTATGAATTTATTCAGTTTCATTTCACACCAATTAATTTGATAACATGCCACTAACCCTAACATATAAAATCTATAAAGATTTTGTAATCAGTTCCATTGGTGGCCATACCTGAAATAGCAGTATTTAGAAAATATTTCTGTTGCGTACACTACTGCTTAAAAAAAATAACAAAAACCTGATACAAAAGCAATAAAAACATACATTTTCAAAATGTAATGAATTTCATTGAGAAAACAACAAATAATTTTTAAGATTCTTACTTTTCAAATAGTCTATAACGAAACTAAAAAAATGGGAAATCATCAAGTTATAACTATAACAAGGCCAAATTTCAGAGTATTATAACAATACCACTAGCCATCAGTGACTAAATCTCAGCAGCCACTTCTTGGTTCATTAGATATCTGCAATTATAAATTGTGTTAAAGTTTTCCCTTAAGTTGTTGACACTCAGCGCAGCGAGACAATGCCACATTCCATCAACTTCTCAATCTTCGCAGCTACATCTGGATTTTTTAGATGCCTGTGAAAATAATTTTTTAGAAAATATAATTTTTATATTACCTAAACAGTGCAACTGGGTTCTGTGTGGGTTAAAACGAATATAAACATCCTTACATAAATAGGAATTTAACACATTTATTTCTGATATTAAATTTATTTGTCTGACCCATTCATCTGCCAAAAAGGACATTTTAACAAGGAATCTGATATTTTGACATGTTATTGCTCTATTTCTTTCATTACCAACCAAGCTGCAACCTAATCAGCCCTATCATAAAGTTTAGTCCTGCATATAGCAAGAAAATGTAAAATTAAGGATCCTAAACTTACAATACCCAAGAGTCAAAAGTGGTTACTGCCATATGATTACCCTTTTAATGGTCAGGGGGGCGGGCGGTAGTGGTGGTGTGTGTATTGATGCAAGTTACAAAAACAAGAATTATATAAAATAAATTTTTACACATATCAATTACTCACTCTCTTGCTGCTTTGGGGTCTTTGGACATTTGAGCTAGAATCATCTGCATTGCAGGATCACTAAGAATTTGCTGCACCTCTGGGTTGGACATGGCCTTCTGCTTTACAGCCTCTGGGTCTTCACTCTCTGCCATTAACGCTTTCCTATATCCATCTAATGCTTCCTTGAAATGTAAAGGGGCAATTTGTTTTAATGGTGATACTTTGGTACAAGCTAAAATATAAATTTAAATTAAGAGATACAAAAAAATGCTCTGTTCCAGGTGGAAACCACCTAAATGCAACACTTAAGTGGACCACCTAAAATGAAATGAATTTGGAAGAGGTGTAAAGACAAACATGGTTTTTTAGAAAGGAAAATAAAGTGGGTGAAGTCAATGACAAAGATTCACTGTAACAAGAAAATATTTGGTTCAATTACGTGTACCGGGTACGCTACTTACTGAATTATTTGTGTCTAGATCTAAGGCCCTCTGATATGCTATGGTGGCTTTAGTTGGTTCTTTCATAGCTAACAATACAGCACCTTTCCTGAGATAACCTTTAACTGAATAAAAAAAAATAATTAATTTTTAAAAAATGAAAATTTCAGTTGAAACTTAGAGTAAACTTAAGTGTGAAGTAAAATACCAACAACACATTGTAGAAATTAATAATAATTAAAAACGACCAGTTAATAGATTTCTCCTTAACTCTTTCTCTCCGGATCAAAGCTCCCATCGTCGATTTTAAATGAGTTTCTAACGTATCAACGTTGGGAGTGTCGTTGTGTAAAAACCTGTTTATTTCTGTACTTTTCTTAGCTATTATTTTTTAATTACTTTTAATCAAATTTAGAATGATTTCCCTTTGATAAACATCCAGATTTTCTTTACAAGTTTTTACATAGAAGCGGTTGTTTTGGTTGTCCATTTTATTTTTGTTAACAAACATGAAATCTTGACCTGACCCATCTGGTGATCGATCTAATAAAAGGTTGAAAATATTACTCTGATGACGATTCAGGCAGTGATTTTATGATTTCAGATGCAGAGGCTGATTCTGATGAATCCTATAATTATAATCCTAGTACTAGTATTAGAAGTACTAGAGACAAAATAATGAAATTGATAATTCATCAGCTGACAAACAACCAGCCCAGTCCCCAGCTTAAGTGCCTTCTAGAAGAGCTAATACTGTTCCTACTATAAATCATACAGATTCTAAAAGGAAGCTGCTGATCTTAGCACTAAAACTGAGTGCAATTTTAGATATTTTGTTTCCTTTGAATTTGATGTAGGTGTAAATTTGGAGCTTTTATTGTGACATGAAAGTCAAATGCCCTAGACTATTTTTTAATTTGCTAGACACATATTATTCACAAGCTTGTACTCTCAATAAATGATTATGCTTCCAACAAGACTTATCAAGGCAAAACATGTGCCTATTTGCTCCAAAAAAGGACTACTATAGAAACGGGGGAATTGTACCGGTTTATGTTTGTGCTGGATGTGAGTCTAACCCGCACATCCATATGGATTGTTTTCAGGCTTAAGATAGCTAAACCCATGTGAAAAGATATGACAAATTTATGGTAAATTTTCCATTTACCATAATAAATTTTAGTACATAAAAGGATACAGTGCAAAAATTTCTAATAGCAACATATTGTTTTCAGTGGAAATAGTTAGGTCTTTTTCAGATTTTTTTTTGCTGCTGTGACAATAGATAATGTGCTCTGATGTTTCATTTTTTTCTTTTAAATGTGATCTTTTGTGATGCACATATGGATATAGTTCAGACAACAAAAATGTTGTTACAATTGGCAAGTTTTTTTTAAAACTTTTATTTTCCTTAAATCATTATCAGATTTATATATTAAAATTTAAACTCAAGTCTGTGTTGTCTGTATAGAGCATGCATTCCCCTTTAATTCCATACCAAACTTAACATTTTCTGATGAAGAACAAAAAAGTTATGATGGTTTAGAGCAGGGGTGGGCAAACTACTGCAACTGATATTATGCGGCCCTTGAAGGTATTTAGAATTTTTCTTAAATTACTTTGTTTTTTAAGTTATTTTGTTGAATTTTACAGCATTTAATGTACCATTATAATTGGTTCAACATTTTTGATAAACTTTCAAATTTTCTTTCTCTTTAAACAGTCCTTGACTTTTGTCATGTATTGCTAAAATGTGAAATTACCGATTTTAATATAGAGAAATGTTTATCAGCATAAAAATTGGAAATAATAAACATGCGGTCCCCCCAATTGCTTTACATTTGTCAATGTGACCCTCCGCACAAAAAGTTTGCCCACCCCTGGTTTAGCGACAACATAGTAGTGCGTAACAAATATGCAAATGGATAATTTTGTCAGAATGCGGAAATCAATTCCAGAAAGAAAGAGTTAAGTCAAAGAAAGTTAACATATACTTACTAAATTTGGGATCTAGTCTAATGCAGTCCTCACTATCTTTTAATGCCATTGCAAATTCCATCAGCTTTGTGTAACAAGCAGCTCTATTACTGTATATTTTTGCATCTCCAGGGTTTCGCTTGATTGCTTCTGTATAGTGCTGAACAGCCAATGGAAAGTTACCTGTTTTAAACAGATATTAGTAATGTTTTGAAAATAGTCTTGATTTTAATTCTTGCGAAAAAATTTTTAGTTGCTTTTTTTCTTTACTTGGGTGAATACAAATTTAATGTAAAGCAAACTGATTTTTTTATGTATTTATGTGCTTGCTGCTCAACTGGATATTTGAATATAATGACCATCTGTCTCTCATCCATCTTGGTTAACAATTACATACCCTCCTTGAATGCTTGATTTCCTTTCTCCTTTTCTTGAAGAGACAATTCTGGATTAATATATGCTAGTAGTTCCTTTTCTTTGATCTTTTGTTGGACCTTTGAAATTAAAATCCATTTAATATTTAAAACATTTCCTTGAGGGAGCCAATTCATTTAAATCAATCTCAAATAGACCTTCTAAACACTAAAATGAAAGAATATTACTTTTAACAAATTTCTGCGACAAGAACAAAGATGAATTACTTTGTTATTGTTTAGCTGTCTCCATCAATGACTTTTTTTTAATATGTGTAGCTGCTTAATGTTTTTATCCATTCAATTGCAACATGTAAAAAGATTCTTGCAAATAAAGATGGCTTCATACATCATCATCTAATTCAGTGACGCAAGAGTGTGCGCTCTTCCTTTCCTTTCCCATTCCACAATGACATTTCTTTTGGTTGGATTTCTTGATTACAACAAAGGCACAAAAGCTTTCTCTCTCCCATTTCAGGAAGTACACCAGATCCTAACTGATTCATTTGTTATATAAAATACAAATCAAACTAATTATGCCTTAGAGCATAATTAACAAATACTTACCTCCTGTGCTTTCTTTACTATGTCTGGCTGTCTGTGTTCTGTTAAACTTTTGTTGTAATAATTTAAAGCAGCATTTAAATCATCCTTTTTCAAATATGCAGTTGCTATTCTCGACAAAGCTCTGCGAATATAACAAAATATAAACAGAAAATTAAATAAATATAAAAAAAAATTTCCTACAATGTAGAATATAATGATTAAAACTATAATAATCAGTTTATATCATAGATATACTAAAATTGCTACAAAAATTTCCAACATACTTGGCAATTAATTTGTAATCAGCTCTATGTTCTCTCCCTTTATCAACTGCCTCCTCACATGTCTTTATGCATTCATCCAATTTTCCTTGTTCATAAAAGACAGCTGAAAATTGTTTTTAACAAGTATTACAAGTTAGCAACTTAAGGTGTGAAAAAAAATCAAATTTATGTTAAAATTAATTACGTTAAACTTAATTGATCAATTTTGGTGAAGATGTTTGGTGTAAATTGTATATTAAATTGCTAAGCACAACATGTTCATGTTTTTCTTACAATTTTTAATTTTCACTTGGATAATGGCACAAGATTTGAAGCTAAAATAGTGATTTTAATCCGTCACTTTACCTCCTTTATTAGTCAGAAGAGTAATATTGGTTGGATCAAGCTCCAGTGCTGCATCATAATGTTGAAGTGCAACATCAAAATTTTTTTGCTTGTATGCAGCATTTCCCTTTTCTTTTTCCTCAAGAGCCTGTAACATTTTTTAAGGATCAATCATTCAGCTTAATTAAAAAATAAATGTATTCCTTATTATTATAGTGGCCTCAATCAAAAAAGAATAAACTCTTTGGTGATTGAGGAAGATGGAGGAATGAGGAAGATGGAGGACCAAAAAAGGTCTGCACATTTTTCATTAATATATATGGTCTTATTCCAAAAGAGCATGGCATAGGGATGATCATGTATACATTAAATACATTTTGAAAATGAAATAAAATTATTTTCTATTTCACCAAGAGTCCTAAAAGAGATCACTTAGACCCCTCACATCCCTTGGACTTTGTCGATTCCAACCCTACACTAAAAAACTTTTACCAATTATTGCTATCCTGGAATCCTGACCACTGACTGTAACTGTAACTGTAAGTAAAAGCTTATGACGATTATGATTATGAAGGCATAATTTTTAATAAATTAAATGACCAGTTAATTCAAAGTTAAATGAGTTCCAGTTGAGAATAACTATAACAATAGTCTTGTGGTGTGGATAGCTACAGCTAAGGTCTAAGGAAAGAAAATGTTATAAGTAGTACAATCTTTAACTTTAATTCTAAAGTTCAGGCTAGCCTTGTGATTAGTTCTCAGTCTCAGATCTAGTAATTCAATTTTATTGACATTACATACAGCTAACACAATCCTATTTCATTTGATATTCCTCATGTCGGTAGTTGTAGTCATACTGATATCCTAGACAAGTACTAAGTAGTTACGTTAGTAGTTAGTACTACTACTATTAATATTATTAAGTACTTTTACTATTTATTACTAATTAAATTTAGTAGAACAAGACAAAATTACTTTCAAATTAAAAATAGGACATAAGTGGGGCATGGACAACTTAAAAAAGCTTGAAAATCAGTTTTAAGTATAAGACTCAACTCAAGTTAATAGTAGACCTACTATAGTTATAGTATAGTGGATTGTGTGGAGTGTAGGCGTCGGCCTACTAATATTATACTACGACTACTAGTCACTGACTTACTTTTCAACAACCGAACTGTAAAACCGGTAGATTGCACACAAATTATTGTCCAATGATTCATTAAATGAAAATTGGATCACTATTATATTAAACAATTTAATTTTTTACTGATGTATATAATGGAGAATATTATAAAAAGAAAGAGTCTAATAACTTCAAAACTACTACAAATAACAAAAGCTACAAACCTTGCGTTTAGAGTCCGCCATGGTTAAGAATTTTCTGGCAACACATGAGTTCTAGAACGTATTCTATTATGGCCCTTGTTTTGCCAGATACTGAATGTTTTGTAAGTTTAAAAAAAAAAGTCACTAAATTATATTTTGACTTATTCGTATATGAAGTAACTATGTTTATAAAATAAAGATAGTTACATTTTTGGCTACCACATTTTTATTTATAAGTTTTGATGTTCCATAAATTATTCAAAAAATGAATAATATTTAAGAAAATCTTATATGTAAAAACCTGGCATAATTTAATCATCCTTCTCGAACAGATGAGAAGGCGCATGCGCTACGTTTCATTACATTGTAACTATCATTGTTAAAATGAAAGTACTCCCATAGTTTTTAATGCTAATAATTATTTTTTGGGAAACGATAAGAATTTCAGCATCCCTATTGTACTTGTTGGTACAGAAACAACAAATATAATTATTTAAATCTGGACAAAAGGGTCTAATTTGTCTTATAAACTTGCGACTTTTTTTCGGGGGGGGGGGGGG